GCCGATCACTAGCCTCATCCTTGGGAATTTAGTCACTATGGAGTGTTTTTCACAGAAGTGGAGCATGCATGCTGCGTGCATGAGTTTTACAAAAACAATAATTCTGCCATTATAGCACGGCGAAAATTTTGTAATCTTTATCGATTGTGTCACATAAACGAAGCACCAAGTACTCAACTCATCAAAACACGGGTACGGAAATTTGAAGAGAGTCGTTCAACGATAAGCAAACCTTGGACAAGGCGACCAAGGTCATCAATAAGCAAGGAAAATGTGGAGAGCATAGTCCAGTCAGTTAGAGTGATTCCTGCTCTCTCTGTTTGCAAAAGGGCAAGTGTCTTAAATCTTCCTAAAAGTTCCCTATATCGCATAATGCGTAAAGACTTGTCTCTCCACCACTACAAGATAGTTGATTCAAGAATTAAAGCCAACTGATGGTGCTGAGAGGCTTAACTTTGCTAACCAAATGGTTGATCAATTTTTGTCCTTCAACAACATTTTATTCTTGGATGAGGCACATTTTCACCTTAATGGCCATGTTAACAAGCAAAACTGCCGTTACTGGAGTTCAATGAATCCAAAACATAAACATCAGAGGCCACTTCATTCACCAAAAGTCACTGTTTGGCTGTAATGTCAGCGCAAGAAATAATCAGCCCATACTTTTTCAAAGATCAAACAGGTAGCACATTAACTGTTAATTCGTAGCGATATGTGGAGATGATTAACAACTTTTTCACGTCATCTTTGCAAGCTTTTGGTTTTAATCGAAACACATGGTTCCAGCAGGATGGCGCAACGTCTAACATGTCTATGTTGGTTGTTTGTGAACTTTTTCCTGAAAAATTGATATATAGATGAGGTGACATAAACTGGTCTCCACATAGCCCCAATTTGACACCAATGGATTTTTTCTTGTGGACTACCTTAAATCAAAGGTATACAGAAACAATCCTACCTATCTGGATCAATTGTCTATCTGGATCCATTTCATCCGAGATGAAATGGCAGTGATCACAGAGAACATGTGCTGAGCAGTTCTCAGAAATTTTGCCTCCCATGTAAAAGTGTGCCAGCGAAATAACGGAACACATTTAGATGATATTATGTTTAAGAAATAAATTCCCAGGGACTGTACTTTATTACAAAATTTATTATTTTTTTTATTAAACTAATACATTATTTTAATATTAATTTATTATTTTGAAAAATTCTTTTGGGACGCCTTATATTATTGATCTTGGTTTACCATAAAGATCAATTCTACACCAAATTTATCGCTCTATATAGTAAGGTAAAAATTCTGAATTGAAATCACACGATTTCCAGTCCAGACTGTGCATAAATCTGTACATCAGTGATTCCCAAACTTTTTCGATCCACCACACCCTTTGTTCCATAAAGTTATACCCAACACCCCCTAACCCATTTTCTCTTGTGTGAGAAAGAACTGGAAATAATCTTAGGAAAACTTTTCTATGAATCTCACACTTTGTGCCCTTACTGTACATTGTTCTCAACATCTGGAAACCATTAAACACAATGTTTCCTCTTATCAGTTTAGCAGAGGAAAGGGAACAGCTTTCAGTGACCCCAATTTTACCTTTGGTCACTGTTCAATATCCTGCTTCCAGCGCCCGCTAGATTTACTCATTGCCCATAAAGGGGCGTTATTGCCCACTTTGAGAAACGCTGCTGTACATAGTTAACTGGGCCTCCAATCCCTAAACTTTCTGTATCTGGTCTTGATTTTCATCTACTTAACTCTGTTCTTGAGAAAATTTTGAATTGAAATTAAGTGACTTCCAGTCCAGACTGGAAATATAATGAAGAAATATATTTTTTGCATATGTATTAACCTTTTAGATAAATAGAATACAGTATAGATATAAAAGTAAACATTGCATATCAAATTTCTAATTAAATAATATTGAATTAATAAGTGTGGCAATATTTTTTTGCATCTGGTGGCCAACAACCCAGGAATGGACATGACTAAGGAGTTTAAAAAAATGAAATAAATAAACCAAAACTGTAGTGACAGTGACTTTAATTTCAAATTTGTTAACAAAAAAAGAATGCTGTTGTATGTAAACAAAATAAAACATTACACAGTTGAATCAGGGCTATCAATTTAAATATAAGTAATTATTTTTATCTGTATAAATTTACTTTATAATAATAATAATGCAAAGAGTAATGAATTTATAGCTTATTAAAATGACAGTTATTGCATCTTGTGCCTTGACTATCAAAGTTCTTCAAAAATAATATTTTTTATTTAGATAGGAAATAATTTCCAGAAATTTAATAGCTTTCAAGATACAAATAAGTATGTCTAACAATATCAATTAAAACATGGATTAAATGTAAAAAGAATGAATGGAAGAAAACTAAAGGAAAAATATTGTATATGTATATGTGATTTTTATAGACAATTATACAACCAACACATTTTTTCAGCCAAGGATTGGTTATCTGACTAAGTTTTTTGACTCAATTTATAAGTCTGCCTCAGGTTACCACAGAACTTTTGATTATTTTAAAAATTGGAATGCAACTTCTGTGGTGACCTGAGGCAGACTTTTATAAATTGAGTTAAAAATGTTAGTCAGATAACTGGCTGGAAAATGTGTTGGTTGTATAATTGAGTGTTTAATGCAACTTAGCTTTTTGAAATGATCTTTTGCTATGAGAGCTATTTTTTAAATAAGGTCCGTTTGTGAATGAGAGTGAGAATGACGCGCGATTACAGCAGTGTGCAAGAGCATCTGCTTTCAGCATGCTTTGCGCGTGTTTAGATACCATTTGCACCGTATCGTCTGTCTGTGTGCTGAGCTGTAGAAGTTTATAATGTTTAAGAAAATTGAGTCGCCCGCCAACTGTAAGATACGATCTGTTATTCAATTTCAGCACGAAAGATCATGGTAACTGTCTTTTCGTACAGGAAAGGGACTTTGTTAGTGGATTTTATGCCAAGAGGCACAACAATCAATTCTGATGCTTATTGTGACCTTGAGAAAGCTCTGCCATGTCATATAAGACAAGCAGCATGGCCTAATGTCTTCCCGCAGCAGGCAGCAGATTCCTTTGAAGTTGGAATTTAAAAAATTTTTGAGCGGTATGACAAATGTTTGAACAAAAATGGAAATTATGTAGAAAAGTAGATAAAAGTATGTAGAATATGGAAAAAATATATTTTAACAATATTTACAGTATTTTTCTTCTTATCAAAAACGGACTTTATTTTAAAAATACTCTTCGTATTTTGTAGTTTTACATGATAAAGGAAGACATCTTTTTGATAGGTTCCAATGGGATGTTACCTTGTTTTATGTTTGACAGGCACTATCTAATTGTCTTTTCCACTTGTCTGGATTGGCACAAGGATAGGGTGACCTTTTGTCCACAGGATCTAATCTGCTTCACAGATGAATCCAAACTGATAGTGACAAAGGTACTGGTATCAGTAAGGGAGAGTTAGATAAGGACTATTTTGTTGCACTGGATAAGTTGCCTAATGTTTCAAGAGCTGCTAGCTATTATTTAGCATGTTTGCATTAGTTTATGTAGCAGTCTTCTTAATAAGGTATCTGTATTGTCTATGAGTCAAGGTGTCTTAAATGTACTTCACTTACTTCACTCTTGTCAAGTTACTTTAGAACAAACAAAAACATTCTTCTACATAAGTAATAACAGATGTTTCAAATCTAATTGGAGCAGACACACATTTAATGGATTTATTGTCTGGTAGACTTGCTTCAGTTAAGCTGCTGGAAGTCACTTCAAGCAATTTTCACTTTTGAAACAGGAAATTTTATTACTACTGTTTTGCAGTTTTTAACATTATTTTTATGTATGAGGGTCATTCTAAAAGTAAAGAACATTTGTTTCTCTAGATATTTTTATTTAAGATAATGAAACAAAACTTATTTTACAACACATATGATACCTTAGCTATTTTTCTACATAGTTGCTATACAAATTAAAACATTTGTCATAGCATATCATAAGCTTTTCTATGCCTTCTGCACTCTCAGTTACCGCTAAGTTCTTGAACCAGTCATTAACGGCCTCTTTCAGTTTGTTGTCACTTCCATAGTGATTCCCAGCCAAAAAATCCTTCAATTTTGGGAAAAGATGGGAATCACTCAGAGCCAAGTCCGGGCTATAAGAAGGATGTTCAAAACCTTCCCACTTAAACTGCTGAAGCAAGTTCTTCGTCAACGCAGCAGCATGTGGGCGTGCGTTATCCTGAAGAAGCACAATGCCTCTGGACAATAATCCCTGCCGTTTGTTTCGAACTGAAGCTTCATCCATCATATTACCATAAACCTCAGTTATCTGTCTGTAAATTTCAATAGGGTGGACTTTTTTCACATTCAAAAAGCATATTACACTATGAACCTCACACCTGGCAGGATCTTTAATTTTGTCAGACATTTCAAAGTCACACTATAGATAGTAAACGATCATTGTTGCTCACTGTTAGCATCAGACTGGCACAAAAAAATGGGAAGGTCTATGACGTGGCAGTGGGAGAGAACTGCATGGCTGTCAGATCAAAATGTTCTTTTCTTTCAGAATGACCCTCGTAAATCAAACTTATAAACAGAAATGGTGCAAAAATGCAGCTGATGTTATAAAAATTATAATATTGAAGGTAATTGATGACATTTTCTCCATGTAAAAATTTTACAAATACCTTACAATTCTACAAATACATTTGTGGTAGCCATCTTAAATTTTATATTCTGTACTTCAAAACTTTCCTGCACTAACACTACAGCAGTTAAAAGATGATTTAGAAACTTCTGCTTTAAGCAGCTTTACAATAAAACACACCCAATAATATGAATCTTACTTCAATATTAGAATATTGATAATGTAGTGGTGAATTAAGGTAAGTCAATTTTGGCAATATAATGACAGATTATATATTGAAACTATTTATTTAATAAAATATGTCTAATATTAAAACGAAATATTTTAAAACTTACAATATAGCTGTTTTCCATGTTTCCAATTTTATGAAAAAACAACACAAAAGAAATACAAGCACATTTCCTTCTTTCTCAAAAAAATTTTATTTTCCTTTCTCAGAGAATTATTAATTGAATATGATCAATTAGTTCATAATTAGTTCATATAATTTACTGTGTATTTTCAGAACAAAAATCAATATCCATCATTAGATCACCCAGAGGTTAACTGAAAAGAACAGAATTATATATATCCAGTAACAATAAATATTATTACAGTAGAGCGTCGTTTATCCGAAAGCTGGTTATCCGAAACGTCTGTTATCCGAAAGCATTCCAGTCGGCAAATTTAAATTTTCGCTAGTGCTGTGGTGCTGCAATCTTCGGCTATTTCTTGGGCTACTCAAATATTTTACGTTTTTGATACTAAATTAACATCTGAAGTATAATTTTTTATTGTTTTTATATTTTTCAATAAATTTATTTTGTTTGTACAAAATAAAAAAATAATTTTTAACGATACAATAGTCTTCGTTAGGCTTAACATCGACGAAAATTCAACGCGAAGCGACACGCAACGGAGAAAAATTTCAACATGGGATAAATTAATATATTTTTTCGTACATGATTCGTTATCCGAAAAATAAGTTATCCGAACCACCCCAGTCCCCAATTGATTCGGATAAACGACGCTCTACTGTATAAGTTAAATTAAGAAAAACACACAAAATAATATTTATTAACATTACTACTAATAATAATGTTTTCTATAAAGAAATTTATAATAATTACTTAAATATTCAAATTAATTACTTAATTATTGATTAAAATTAAATAATTAATTATTAAAATTAACAAGAGATGATGAAATAATTTGTTACTAAATGTTGTGCTAACAATGAAAATTACTTGAAAATCTAACAAATATTTTTTTTTATATTTGATTAAACTGAATTTCAGATATTAACTAATACAGATATACTTCACCAATAAAGAAACTATCAAAGAAATTAGAGGAAATGTCAAAAATAAAATTCACACCTAAAATAAACTCCAGCAATACGTTTTAATAAACAAAAATTGTTTGACCTAATACTATAAATTTGGTTAAAAACTTAATTAGAACTCACATTATCTATTCAAAATTTATTATTTATATATATAAAATAGAATGACTGTCTGTCTGTCCTCAATATACTTCTACACCCTTTGACCAATCACACCTATATTTTATTGAACTTCCTCAAGAAAAAATACAAATCAAATGTCAGTTGCATTCGAATAGGACAAAAAAATTTTTTAAACCATTCTACAATAAATATTTCAAATGCTGATAGCTGGATTTTGAAGTTACAAATAAATAAAAATATAAAGTTACATGCGTAAAATGCATATAAAAATAATAATAAAAATATGAGAACAAATAATAATAGATGAGTATCCCCAGGGGCATCCTTACATTGGGGCTCTTGCCCCCATTTGTTATCGCATTGTCCTTTTCTTAATCCCTAAGGGAGCTCTAAGGTTTCATTTTATTTTTAAATTAGTTACTCATTTTTATGACAGAAAACTTTTTACTGATGACAAAATTAAAATATTTGTTACTAATTGAAAATTTGTTATAGAGGATTGTGATTAATTGTTTAGTTGAGTACCAAGATACAGTACCACTACATTTGATTAATGTGATTTTGGATATACTTGGTTTGTTCGTACATTTGTATGTAATATAGTTTTTTTTATATATATAAAAGACTGTTTTTCTAAGTAATCTAGAATCTAGCTGCAAGGACCCGCTTTGCTGGGCAAAAAGTAACGATAGTGAAGATTACGATAATTACATTATAGCCAATCTTACCCGTTTTCACAGAATGCAAGAATTAGGTCCTCCATTTCCAGACTAATTAGAGAATTTTTACGTCCAGTCAAACGAACTATTTTCAATTTGAATTATTTTCTGGAACGTTTACAATCATTCTATAATCAAACCAATTCGAATTCAAAAATTTTTTAAATTGAAATAGAAAATCTTCCACTTTCAACCACTTTCAAGCCCATATCTCCTGCACCCTTATAGCTATCGAGACGCAACCACCATAGTGCACGAATGGAGACTTGGGGCTACTACCACATACAAACACCATTCATGTGCGATGTGTAGTTTTGGCTGAAAAGTGAAATACAGTAATACCTCGACTTACGCAAACCCAAAGTTACGCGATTTTCAAATCTTGTCGATTCGTCTTTTGTTTGAGCGCCAAGCAACTCTCGATTACTCAATCCCCCCACACTATTGTTCGGCTTACATGTTCAGACATGTCGCGCGGAATCGACACATAGCAACAATTTATTTTGTGTTATTTATTTCTGTGTTTGTTATATATACGGAGACTTGAGAGACTCTATGTGGTGATTTCTTCTGACCGTGAACGAATCAAAAGACAAGATAAGATTAACGAGAACATTTATTAGCTTACATACATCCGACTTGGGTTTTACACAAATTGCGAAATTATACCCCGACTTACGCGAATTCGACTTACGCGGTTATCGCTCGGTCCCACCTATCGCGTAAGTTCAGGGTATCACTGTATAGGGACACACATGTCCATTTTTATATATACAGTAGAACCTCGATTATCCGAACTAATTGGGGATGAAAGTAGTCCGGATAAGGAAAAATCCGGATAATCGAAACAAATACTTTAATTTGTCTTTTAATGATAATACTTCACGTTTTCTTTTCGATGACATCGGTAATATTAAAAGTAAATACTGTATTTAAATTGTGATCAAATTTTCAAGAAACAAATGTTCGTATTGAATTTGGACTACTACTGACCAACGCTAACAGACTACCTATTGTTTAAAAGGCCCTCTGGTGGCGCAAGAAGACGGATTTTATAAAATAAAAAGCAGTTGAAACTGCATTTTTATGAATAAAAATTTGACAAACTATTTATCGTTTTATGACGAGTAAAATTTTTTCGTCGCGTTCGCGGCTTTTAAGTAATGCATAAACCTTCGAGGCGCGAGGCCCTTCGGACCGCGAGGCATAGGCGGTGGCCCACGTCGTCCATGCCTTACGCCGCCCTTGGTCATAGAAATGATGTAATTTGAATATAAATTATTTATAAATACGTATGTCAAGTTATATTTTTATTACTACGTAAAATATATTTAAGAGTTTACGACCACTGTGCTGGGTGAGACGTTGTTGAAACAAAAAAAGTTATGCATTCCATCACGTACATAAACAGTATCGTAATTCGCCAAGTGCAAATCAGCAAATTCGTAAAATATTTGTTTATTTTGAACAATCCGGATAATCGAAAATCCAAATAATGGAGGTCCGGATAATGGAGGTTCTACTGTATATATATATATATATATGTATAATGCCATTTTTTATAATCTGTGAGCACTGCTGGTTAACCACAATGTGCATTCCATGAGTTTGTAGTGTCACTTGGTGTATATTTCAAAAAAGATTCTCCACACCATGTGTTACAACATCAGCTCTCACCTTACCAACATGACAAAGATCCAAGTCTGAGATGATCCAAGGCTTATTTTGAGAGAAAATCAATAAAACAAGGTATACAGAGGCATTACACATCTATAAATATGCTACTATTACCTATCTATTACAGTATCTTCTATTCATTATAAATTTTTAGTAGTAAGTGACCCAAACTATCAAATTAAGTTGAAAACATTTTTGTTCATTATAACCTTTTGCTAGAATTTAAGGTGTGAAATTTATTATGGTTTTATTATGTAATTTAAATTTTTGTTTGTTTACTTTTATAATCTGCATTAGAGATATACAGCAGTGTATATATAAATAAATAAA